TGTTCACTCTATGATTATATATTTTACTTTAGCACTTTTGTAACAGTAAAGCTATGACCACAATGAGGATGGAGTCATCTTCTGCAAGTTTAATCACTGGGTGGTTCAATGGACAGGAAGGAATATAACTAGGACAGGAATTTCTCTACAAATACCGACTATTTGCAAAGCATCGCTGACGGACAAAGGACTACGGCCATGCAAGACAGCCTGGGGAGGACAGACCTAGGCAAGAGGCAGAAATGACCAGATGATGGCTAGCAATGATAGCCAATCTTAATAATTAAGAACGAACTTGAAACACTGACTTCACGCTGCATTCCTAGGTCCCAGTAAGGTGCCTTGACAGCGATTCTCCCAGCTTTATTGATACCAGCAAGGCTGCCAGGAAGGTTTTCATGGTCCAAATGTCAGGGAAATGGCACAGAATATGATCACACACATTACAGACAGACTACAACAGCTGCCCTTATGAGGAGCCAACTGATATCCTATGGTTTGAAATCAAGACAGCCACGGCCAACTGCTTCAGAGCCGCAATCTCAAGCCACACAGAAAGAATGTGGAAACTTCACCAATACGCGCCAGTGTGCTTCAGGGTTAGCATGAAGATAACTGTTTGGCCGACTTAGTTGTTCAGCTCCAAACTTTAAAAATGCATTTGCACCTAGCACAAAAGGAGACAACCTTCTCAACCAAATGCAAAGACTTAAAAATTGGTCATCAAACATAAACCATCTATGCAAGGAATTCTTGCAGTCCAACTACTCAGCTATTAAAAGCCATGCGATGTCCCTTCCCTTCCATTTTATAGACTACATTAACCACAAACATTTCATGTTACACAATTTTATTAACCCCGAATGCCAGCAAATGACTGCAAAACAAATTCTCTCTTCTTTTTGATTCAACAACAAAAAATAGCTCAAATTTGGGAAGTTCTGTCAGCATCACTGGACTGATCACTTGTGTGGCCTCAAGGTACCAAGGATCCAGCTCTCCGCATACGAATCCCAATTGTGCTCTGGAGCACCATCTCGGACAGCTCTGCCCATCCAAAACAAAACAGTACAATGAAAGAAGCAGTCATGAACCATGGAGAAATGGGGGGCAAGAGCTTCTCCATTGCCACCGTGTGGCTAGTGAGCTCCTCCCATAAGCGCATCAGGATGGTGATCCTAAATATGGATTGCAAGCCTGAAATATGCTCTCTCCCCACTTTGTTTCTCTCAGAGTAGTCAATGTGACGGCATCCTTCTGTTATTAGGTAGATGGGAAGGTCTCGCCAGTACACAGTTAACTACCTGCCCGCTCAGCAGCTTCTGTACTGAAAAATAGTACAGGAATACGTATTACATAAATAAAAATATAACGGATACCTGGGTTTGTTATCATTCCACAATGTCTGTTAATATCATAACTACAGTAAACCACAGATTGCATCCTGATTTTTTTTCAGATTTTCTTTCCCAAGGGATGATAAGAAGTAATCTCCCTGTTGTTACAAATGTTTTATTTTGAAAATAAAGCTTTTATGCATATTTTAGTTGATCTAAATACAGTAGATCTTGGGTTTTTAAATCGCCAGATAATATGCAATTATCTCAAGCTAGATTCTGATTTTGAAACAAGCTTTAATTAGCTCCCCATTTTATGCTGCTATAATCCTTTCTTCAACTCCCATGAGTGTTACTATTGCTAAGCAGCATGAGGTTAGGAATGATGGATGATACCCAGAAAGGAAGACAAACAAAAGGGAAATTCAAAATCCCCTGAGATCACCCGCAGCTGTATCGGCAAATGAAGATTTCCACATTAGGTCATAAGACGACCCTTACAGAAACACATACCAAAAAGGCATGTCTTTTTCCCACTGAGTATTTGCAAGTCTTTAATGTAGTATATAGAGAGTAGATGTCCTTCACAAAGGATAAATACAAAAGTGAATAAAAAATCAGCTTTCATGGGAGTAGCTATGAAATCAACAGCATCAAAAAAGAAACTTTGTCTTAATGTCATCTAGATGCTCACTAAAGACATAAGACCCCAAAATAAAACAAACTAATAAGAGCTATATACAGTACAAGTATTTAGAAAAATATCCAAGCACATAAACCTTCTTCTGGCACATGGCTACTGTCCAAACCCAACCCAGCTCTGATCATCAGTAATGCAACTAAATAAGGGCCAAATTCATCATGAAAAAATGCTGATGCAGTTGGGTGACACTAATTCAACTTTTTTTTCCATGTGATTTGGTCCATGCTTTTGACACATAAATCATTAAAAAGGCAGATTTACCCAAGGGCATTAGAGCATTTAGGTGGAAAGAAATACACAGAAAAAAATGTTAGAAAAGGCACAGTGATACTATTTTTGACCACCTAGGGTACAGACACCATTTTTGCGTAAAACACGTTCACTGAAACTTGCACAAAATCGCCAAAGCGTTGATGAAAGGTCACAGGCAGAAAATACCGATACATATCTGGTTGTAATTTTGGTATAGACTGTGTTTTTTTCAAAATTCATAAATATAGCTTTCAAAGAAGAAAAACAAGCCTGGCTTCTCTTTGCTTTCTCAAAAAAGAAAAAAAAAGAAAAAAAAAGAAGCTTATCCATTCGTTCCCACATATAAAAGACTGATGGGTCCATCTGTCCACGTGTGACAATGGAAAATTACCGGACAAAAGAACAGATTTTCATGAATGAGGTGTTAATCAAAACCTTATGATCTAGAAGTGTAACTAACTGGGTCAGAAATCCAGAAAATCTTGCTACTTTGATAGAATAGTGCCAAACGGTAATGAAAATACTCACAGCTAATAAAAGTTTGAGATGTTACTATGCATGTTGACACTCTGTACACTGAAGACCTTCTTGGCAAAGCACTCAGGAGCCACTGAATGTATTAGTTTAATTTCACTTCTTTCCCTTCATGCATTCAACAAGTTCCAAGCCAATTATACTACATGGAAAAGGCTCCAGACCTTTTCTCGTTTCAAAATTTTTCTGATTAATTTCTGTTTTAAAATTACAAGTATGCAACCTTTTCTGCCTTGATTTTCCTGGGAAATGTCTCAGAAGACCAGAAAATTGGAGCTGTCTTTTTTTTTCCTGCCCTGAAGTGGAGAATCTTTCACAAATGCATAATTATTATTACCTTTTCCAAACTGTTTGCTGCACTTTTAATTACAGAACAGCTGCTAATAAAAGAAAATTACCAAACTGCCCTTCCTCATTCAAATAACTTGGTTTCGCTCTTTTGTTCTGCGTGGTGTCACAACCTTCCTTATTCCTTTATACAGAGAAAGGCACCAAGAAAAGAACGTCTTCTACAACAGTTTTATTTTTAATCATTGGAAAGGAGGAAGAAAAGGGCACAAGCCCATTTTCTCATTTGTAAGTCTGCTTTAAGGAAAGAAGGAGGGCCATCATCAATAATATGATTTTATTAGCTGATAGGAACGTGTTGCCTCACAAAATATTAGCTCAAGGGCAGGAACTGACAAACGAGATTGGGAGTGTGGGAGGGGAGCAAAATATCACGGCAGCAAAACTGAACTTCCTGAAGGAAATCACTTTCAGCTACCAGCGATCCTCACGGGAATCCATAAGGTGGTCGGATTTTAATACTATGGGCTTGTCTTTCAATCTTTTATAATTACAGTTAGTCATAAATATGATGATTAGCAATAACAATGCAGCCTTTTCCCAGCTCCTCTGATTTCAAAGTCCTCTTAAAATGGCTACAATTAATTACTCATATTTTCCATGCTGTCTTAGACATTTATAACTGTAAGTTACTCTTGCATAGTATTGATGCTACAAAAAAGTAGTCAATGGCACGCTTTAAATGAACAGCAGCGTATAAAACGTCGCAGGAAATTTCCATGTTTGCTAAATGCTTGGCTCTAAGTAACAATAGCCTTATGATTGCAAATAATTTTTTCCCATTTTGGTTTTGTTTTCATGGCTTGTTTTTACCAGGGGCATTTTTTTTGCTTTTATCTATTTATTTTCAACTGTTCTTCTTAAGAAAAACATGGACTGAATATCATCACGGACTTTCTTCTAGTAAAATCTTTTAGAATGCAAAATAGTTTCCCAGTAGGGAGTAAAAGCAGTTTGGTTGGGATATTCAGAATAAATCCAGCAAGCTCCAGAAAAAGAGAGAGTGTTTCAGAATGGCAGAAAGGTGGAAGAAGAGCACAACCCATCCTTCTCTGTATCCTGAAATGCAGTAATTCTCCAATACAGGGCAAGGGCTGTAAGCACAGAGCAGGGCACAAGTGTTTTTCTAGAGTACAAAACAGCCTGAGTGGTTTACGTCAGTTAAGCGTATCATTGGTAAAAAGTCTGTGTGGGTAGAGTTTGGTATCTAACAGCAGGAACACAGCTGTTCTGTTCCAGGCTCCTTCCTATACCGTGGCCATCTTATAAAACCTTTAGCAATTCACTTCTCTTTGACACTCATCTTTGCTGCATCTGCTTTTTTGCAAACGGAAAGGGGAGCGAGAAAAAAAGGTCGGCTTGGAATATTTAACGAAGCTTGACAAAGAAAGACATAACGTGGTCTTTTCCCCACCTTCAAATTAACAAAGCAGATTTTGTGCAAATGAAAGTGGAAAAAAAAATACGCCAGCGAGTAAGGCAGCTGGAGTATGTAGATCACATTACAAACGAAAGGCTTGTTTTACAGCCATTGTCACATGTCAAGTTGATAAGCTGAACTATGGTAAAAAAAACCCTACAGAGCCAATGATCTCTAAGATCAGACAGAGTCTCTTTACCTAATATATGCAGCTAAATAAGTGTACTCCCTACATCTGCCATAGCAACAAGGAGAGAACGAGGAATTAACTGTGTTAATAAAAAAATTGAAGGGTCTCCTGTATGATACAACAAAATGCGAGAAACCTCTTGGCATCAAAGCAAAAGAAACGTAACAAAAGCACAGAGAATTATTTCAGAGCAAATCATTGAAACCAGCTGATTACCTGAGCTTGCACATCCCTGCTGTAGGGAATCCTGTAATGATGTCACAGAGTGAAGGACTAGATAAGAGAGGAGAGGAAAATCAGGGAACAATAAAAGGAGATGCCAAACCACAAACTAAACAGTAAGCAGGCTCAACAAATAGCAAACCGCTTATCTCAGCAAGGGCACGCTGCTCGTTTAAGTCAGTGGCATTATAAGGGTACAACCGAGGCCAAACCCTAGTCTGGCCTTTCTGTATCAATAGGTATTAGGATAAGAGAGCGCCACAATAAAAGCGTAATTGCAACACAGCATTCCCCCTTTAAAGCTTAGTTCTTCTAGCTCACCTCCTGAGAAAGCAATCGATATTCTCCTAGGAAGAATAAAAATCCCCTATGCAACCCTAGAAAACAGCGCACAAGATTTTCCAGCTCTTTGGCCAAAATTTTTGGAATTACGTATCATATTCATGCCTAGATAATATCATCCTAATTAGGAACTTGATAACTGCTGCTTATCAATTACGCATAAACGAGTGCTTCGTTCGTAAACATTCCCAGCGTGTCCCCCCTAGGGACCGGCAGGGCTGCGAGGGTGGACGCTGCCACTTCCAGTAACGCCTGGACTAGCACCGGGCGCAAGTCTCGCTTACTGCAAATTTAAAAAAAAAAAAAAAAAAAAAAAAAAAAAGATTTCCTCCTCCTCAACTCAAACAACATAGTGGAATTTTAATTACCTTGTCCTTGTTGCTGCCCTTGTGCAGGCAGGACACACTGTCCCAGCTCACCATTCAACCAGAGCTGCATACGAATAAATGGTTCTCGGCCTTTTTGGGTCAATTTACTCCATGGCTTTGGCCTGGAGAGCATGTCACTGACACTTCCTTGGGACAGCCCCAATACCTGAAGTGAAGCAACCAAGAACGGCACGTTAACACATTTGATGTGGAAGGGGCGTAATTTAAGTCACTTTGGTTTCCTTTACTGCTATATTGCTCAAATTGTTTTTATATGGACAGTTAGTAAAACTGCAAAATGACATCTGTAGGTAATTGATGGAAATGCTTTTTTTCTGCCATGGTTTCCTTCTGGAGCATGGGTTTTTTTCCTGCAGGAACGGAGCAGCAGCACAAACGGCAAAAGGATGGCACGAGATTTGCATGCTTTTCATATTTTGTGTCAAATAGTTTCATCAGTTCTAACAGGAAAAACACAGAGTCCAGGCACACACAGGCAGATAAAACAGGAAATGATTGGCATGTATTTTGTTCTCAAACAAAAATAATTGGGACTTTTGAGACTAGGCCTATATTTGGTTGATTTTTTTTTGGTATGAATTATAACGATGTGTGTTTTCACCTGTAGCAGCGGCTGCTCCACGTAAGTAAATATTTAAGAATACAGCTGACTGCAGCAAAGGGGAAATTTCAGACAGGCAGAACGCAATTACTTGCCTGGAATTCAGCACAGGTACAGGGGTTAAAAATCATACTTAATGAAAGCTGCCACGGGATCTTTAATGACCCCAAGAGGTCAGGCTTTTCATTTTACATCTTAGTGAAAAGGTAATAGCGTGATGCCAGCTCCTATTATACTATTATATTGATTCAATTCTTTATAGGAAGAAGAAACACCAGATGTCCACCACTTCTTATAGCCTGGGAAGTGTGTTCTGGTGGTTGGGGACCCCCCCAAAATCCCACGTGTTGAATGCTTAGGGCCCGCAACGTGAGAACTTCAGAAAGCCTTATCGTGCATCGCATATCTGTAATCAAACATCGCTTAAAAATGTCTGAAAGCCCACTAAGATACCAAGCACCAGGTATAAGAAATGACTGTGAATTCTTGACTTAAGACTAAGGCGAGGCAGGGGATTTTCCGTGTGTTTGTTTAAATACCCTTGTGCGCATTTCCAAATATTAAAAAAAAGGAAGAATGCTCTTGTGTCCATAATCTTCACTTATAACAAATTTAAGACTCTCCAGTCATGACAATGGTATTACTCAAATATTCCATGAATTCATTACATTAAGCATGAAATATTGAGTCTCAATAACGTTTGCTTCAGCTTTCAATGTTTCCAAACTCCGGGGCCCCATTTCTAATCACAAGTGGCTGAAGCCAGTCTTTGTATAAAAACCTATGCAATTCACAAAATACAGGAAAACTAATACTTTCCTTTATGAGCTTATTTTTTAAATACTTAACATACGAAGCAAAAACATTTTTCTGTAAGACATATGTGGCATATCCCCCTCCGTTAAACTGAGCTCCGTACCAACGTAAGGAGCACAACGCACATTCACAATACTGGTGTAACAAGAGATAACCAGTTCTTTACCTTTTCCCCAAAGATCCTTTGGCAGATGCCATTCTTTGCTAGCTTTTCTTTGACCTGCCGCGTTAGCTCTATCGTATCCACTTCCTGGTACATATAAATCTCATACTGCTCGGGTGTCAGTGGAGGAACTGAAGGTTTGGATGGCTTTGACAAAGACACGATAGGGGATGAAGGGAGGGGGCTATTTTGTGGTGTCTCACTGCGACTCGCCCCAGTCATGCTCAATTCAGAACTCTGGGAGTACGGAGATTCAGCGTTTGGCCACTCTTTCCAATACTCTGAAGAAGATGGTCCTTGGAGCTGGCTACGATCTGGCCTAGTCTGATTGCTGACCTTTTCTTTTCCACCACTGGCTTCCTCAACTTTTATATCTTCGGGAAGAGCTGTATTTCTTCTCTCATGCTGCACAGTATTCCACCAATGGTCCTTCCAAACACCACCACGTCCCAACTCATTTTTAACATGCCTCAACATACCCTGGGCAGAATCACTTATTCCATGAAGCTCTAAAACAGGTGCCTCCTGAGGCTCCTTTTTGAGCCCAGAGAGGTTCTGCAATGCAGAGATACTGGAATCAGTGACAGATGAATGTTTCTTCAGGGATATGGCCAAAGGAGAATAGCTGGAAACCGAAGACATTGCAGGTGTAGATACTAGTTTGGGGGACAGGATAGAAATGTCAGCTTGAGATAAAGGTGGTGTTTTTAAGGCAGGTTCAAGGGCAGCCTGCTGTGCCTCCATTTCACGTCGGGCTTGTTGCAGAATGGATCGAATAGCATCATCAGAATTGCCACTGCTAGATGCAGAAGGCGGCTGAGCCGGCTCAGCTATGAAAAACAACCAAAAGACTAAATGCAACAGAGGAATATGCTTTATATTCACCAAGTGCTACTGTATATATTTCCCTGTCAGAAAAAGGGCTGCAATACATTTCTGGATGGGAGGGAGGAGTTTTCACTAAGCAAAGATTTGTACTTTTCAAAATAAGGTAAGATTTCCAAAGTTCTTCACTGGAAAATTTTTATAGTTGCCAAAGTGCTGGACATTTGCACGCAGACTCAACTGCAGAAGTCTAGTACTACTTGCTTGTTTTCCACCATTGTAAAAATTTTCAAATAAATGCCTTTGAAAATCAAGCCTTCACCTCTCCCCCCCCCCCCCAAAGTGGTCAGAAAAATTTATAGTTCTATTTAGCCTTATTTAACCTTTCACTTCTCTCTGTCTCCACAAATGAATCGTAACACACGCTCAAAACTGAACATAGCTGCATTCACCTAGACGGACTATTAAGACCCTCTTACAGCATAAATAAGGTGAGTCCTTTTAACTCCAAAAATATAACACACAAATTACAACAAAGCAAGAACTTTAGTAAGAGACTTCATTATTTCATTTGACAAGCTAAATATGCTCCTGCTTCCTGTTTTCTTGTTCCATGGTCCCAACCACTGAAACGAACAGCTCTACAAAAATGAGGCTGATGCCTGGCCATCACTCTCTGCCTTATCTGAAGCCCTAGAATGGAGCCACGGGCGCTTCAGAAGAGATAACACCTAAATGCAGTATTTCAGTGGTGAACCAGGGCTCGTGTGGCTGTGCTGCCGCAGTCAGGGATGAGCAGAGATTGGAACGTGGGTGTAGAATTATCTCTGCAGAGCCAGGAGGTTTTTGCAACGGCATCTGTTTCCATTTAAGTCAGTCTCCACTGAGGTCCCCAGTGCTTGAAAACCAATTCCTCTGAAAGCTACTCTACAATGAATGGTGAAAGTGAAGCACTAGACAGTAACAGGGAATCCATACACTGCAAGAAGTGGCCTCAAATTGAAGTAAGATTTGAAACACGCTGCGTATTATTCTAGTAATATTATGCCTCATCTGAATACATTTCCGAATTTGCCTCCCTACATTCCTTCCTGTCACACACTATAAAATACATGAAAAGCCAAGAAATGGGAAAAAAGACAGTGGGACCATCTCTTCTGTTTTATCTACTGGTTTCATAGGGAGTTTTGAGGCTGAATTAATATTTGAAAGGAAGTCTGAGATGCTCAGCTGAAACATGCTACTGAACAGCGTGCTTGCAGTTTCCTGCACACAGCCCACATTTTTTCCTATGTAATCGTTACTTGTATAAAGTCATATTATTTAAATCATACATTAACTAGTCTTTCATATTTTGCCATGAGATTAGCTTAGTTTTCATTTAAAAGACAACTATCCAAAACTGTAAATCAGTATTTACTTTAAAAAACGAAACAGAAGTAATGCACAGTACTCTCTACTTCAGCATTAGCCCTTTAGCAGTACTGGAAACTCTTTTAGAGTTGGGAGGGCTATGGAGTAGACAGAAATGTTAACTACATGACAGCATACAATGAGAAATTAAACTTATCTTGGGCTAAGATGTTAAACTAATCATGTTTTTGGGAAAGGAAGTGCTTTTTGGATTTGCCAGTTCATTCACTGAATACATTCTGTAACCAAAAATAAAGTCATGTAAAAGTTAGAACTGAGTTTGCTTATATTATAATTTCAGTACATGATGTCCACAGTACGATGGTACTATGTGACTGGTAATTGCTGGCTAGACGATTCACCCCGACAAATCCATTCAGTTCCCTCTCCCATGCAGTTGTGTCCCTGCGGCCTGAGTTAGAGAGAAGAGAAGAGAAAGCAGGAGCCATTCCCTTTCCAAGGAGCAAACTGGTAGAAAAAAGGATTTTGTAGGTTTGTCCTGCAGAGTGACTGCCTGCAGGTCTGGAGTGGTGTAAAGAAGGCAGAGCTCTGCACTTGGAAAAAAGGCATTTAGAAATCTCACAGTGTCACTCCCCCGGGAGTGGGGCAGAGCAGAGTGGGCAGAGCACGGAGCAGAGCCCCCCCAAGCCATGACATGTGTAACCTTAACTTGGGCTGCCTTATAGACAGAAACAACTCCACTAAATTTAAAAAAAAAAAAAAAAAAAAAAAAAGCTCTTCAAACCTACATTCAAGGTTTTAAGAATATAATTAACTGACCAGAAAGCTCATGGTAATTGTTTTAATTACATTCTGAAATAAAAGGAGCGAGAGACAAAATGAGACCGTACCTGTTTTCTGTACTTGCAGCTCCCTTTTGGCTTGTTCGAGAATGGATTTGATGGCTTCATCAGAGCCAGTCTCTGTGGTTCGGATTCTTGTGGTTATATTACCTGAAGAGCAAAACAAAACTAATGACACCAGGAACACTTTTATTTGTTTGGTTGGTTTTTTAACACAAAGACAGACAGCATATACCGATATACCACGAGCATGACCTGACGGAAGTTTACATAGGACCTTTACCAACATTTACAACACCAAGAACATACTTAACATAATAAAAGAAAAATACCCTCGTTGTGCAAAAGCCTGCCCGCTAGCTGCACTGGAATGATGAGAACACTGACATCATCAGAGGAAGAACTAGGTGGTCATATATTCCTTTTCCAGGATAACACATATAGGTCTATTTTTTTCCTTTTCTTTGTTTTGGAAGGGAGAGGAAACAGAAGGGAAAAGAACCAGAGGGGAAAGAAGAAAGCTAAAAACATAAGATCAGGAATCACCTTAAAAATTGCATCAGCTGCTAGGCAAAGTAGGATGAGTATACATTCAGCCCAAAACAGAATTAAAAAGTAACTAGATAAAAATAATTTTTAACTTACTAAAGGTTAATACATTAAGAGAAACAGTCATTTAAGCGCAGATACCATTTGAAGTACTCTCCAGCTAAGAGCTATTACTTGGTTGTTTGGTTTTGTTTTGGTTTTTTTAACCACTAAGGGGAAGAAAAGGAGGGAAGCTATGGCTGTGAATGCTATTGCACTTAACTGCATTTTTCATTATGAGATTATCATTTGTAAGTGAGCTAGATAATTTCTGACTGGACTCAAAACAACCACAGCGTTTCGGGGTACCTATTTTTGTTTTTTCTTCTTCCTCGTCTTGCTAAAAGAAAAAATCTGCAACTATTCTATAATGAAGAAAAATGTTTGTACTTCCTGTTCAGTGATAATTTATCGCTCTGATGTTCACTTATCTTGTTGTCTTTTTCATACACCATACTGAAGTAAGTATCACACTAATTTAACAGCGTATTAAAGTGTATTTGTCAAAATAAGCCCCATGAGAAGAAAGAAGTAAATCTAGAGCAGAAGCCATATGCGATTCATGTTGGATTACACGTAATTGTGCAACTTTCTCCCTCCAAAATCACAAAAATAGCAAAGAGAGCATTTCAATAGATCTGATGATTTTATAAAGCCACTTCTATCACTTATCTCTTTTGATCTGCGTACGCAGTGATGTTGGGAGTGGAAAAAGTATCCAAACAGGGTTACGTTAGTACAGCAGCAGCAGAATTAGAAAAAGCAAAGTGTTCGTCTAACCCATGGTTTGTTTTATACTTACTTTCTGTTTTTCTATCAGATTCCAGGCCAGAATCAAACTGCACAGTTTTAAGGAAACACACAGCTAAAGCACACTCCACTTCCTAGGTATCGACTGCAAAGAAAAACACCTGCCTGTGACGTACCTTCAGACCCATTTCTTCGTTTCGGTACTTCCTGAAATAGTCTGTTCAGGTTCTGGCCTGGATTCTCTGTTGAAAAACAAGTTTGGTAAGAACAAAACAATCAGGGGATGGTTGCTCTGACATCATGGGCTGTGTGACATGAGAAGCTAGCAGCCTGTCTCTGAACGTGAGGGTTCGAGCTGTCCTCGCCCCCTCAAGCCTTTGTCTGAGCGCTGGAGGAGCTGGCTACTTGGGAAGAAGCAAGGCTGGCTGATTTGTTAATAAAGATTACAGCTACGTTCGGAAAGGAGATTAGACAGATATAAATAAATGTCTAGAGATACCAAAAATGAAGAGGTTAAAGATGGGCAGATAATCCCCTCAAGTACAATCATCAAAAGGAAGGACAGATTATAAATCTAACAGTGTGCACTTTCAACTAAACAAAATCTAGGAAAATCCTGCCTGTCCTTTCCAATATTTCTTGACTGTAAACAACTTACTCTTCAGTTTCTCTAAATGTAAATCTCAGTCTTCGCTTAAGATGAATCACAATGAAATGTGTGTTATTTCTTAAAATCACCGCCTTAAATATGCAAAGCTGCTTTAAATTAGGATTGTTTGTTAATTACTCATCTCATGCATCACCTACTATATTTTGTCAAAACACTTTGGGAAAAAAAAATCTTGCAAGACACAACAAAAGTCTGCTCTCAATAAACAACCCCAAATAAAAATTTTCAAGTATTTCTGAGGGCTGATACCCTTAGTAGCTACTGACCCTTTTCACTCCGTATGTAGCCCTGACACAGAGCTATTGGGAAGTGAGGGATGTAAGTGTCCCTGCTGCTTGCCCCTGCTGACAAACACAAGTCAGCGGCTAAAAAAAGCATAACCAAAGATACTAACCTGCTTGAGTGCTGAAAAGCAGTTAGAAAGCTGTACTTTCTGTACCTGACATCTGATTTGGGTGAAAACGGCAGCAATGCACAAGTGGCCCCGTACAGGGAAGCTTCCAATTTTTAACATTTGTAACTAACAGGAAAATAGGGCAAGTCCCTCGGCCGGCGAGCGCTTACCTCTTTGTCTACCCTGGATGCTGCGAAGAGCCAAGATGTTCTGCTCGTCCGAGAGGAACTGCTTCATCTTATGAAATGGCTCCTTGCCTCTCACAGTCAGTTTATTCCATGGCTTTGGCCGGGCTAGTATCTCACTCACAGACCCTTGCGACAGTCCCAACACATAATGTCCAAATATCCGCTGTCCAATATTGTGCTTGATCAATTGCTCTTTCACCTGACGTGCAATTTCGGCTGTGTCTATCTCCTCGCCTTCAGAGATGCTCCCAGCACTTTCTGACTGGCTGGGAGACGGGGCCATGCCATTTACGTCCGGACTTTGTTGTAATGGACTTTGGGAAGATATGGAGTTTGTGCTGTAAGGACCTGTTGAAAAAATCATGCTTGTGCTTCCTGCTTCCTGCATTGCCTTGGAGTAGAAGGACTGCATTAGCTGTCGCTGGAGGAGAGAGTTTAGTGCAAATTTTCCTGTGGAGGCCAGGGGTAAGCTGGGGCTCGCCAGGGATGAGCTGAAAAAGTCTTGACTTAAACCCGTTGGTGAGAACTGGTGTGTACCATTAGTATTGGAAGCCTGCTCCCCCGCGTTGCGGAGCAACTGAGAAGGAGGGGAGGCCGGCAAGGTTGCAGGACGCTGACTCTCAGGCTGGTCTTTCCCTTTTCTCCTGGCTGACCCTACAAGGAAGGCCAAACATAATGCATTATGGGGGATCAAAGAGGGAAAAACCAAGATAAAAAAATGCAAAGTTTGCCCCACAAAGGGAAAAAGTGCAGATTTACAAGGGCCAATGAAGTGGCGGTGGGATTTTTGTTTTCATTTTGTTTTTGGTTTGTTTTCTTTTTTTTTTTTCCATAATTGAAATTTTAATAAGCCAAACAAGGCCCCCAAAACAAACAACATGCATTTCATGTTTGCACCTTTCTTGTATGTTGCAGCCTGGAGAATCCCCCTTACAAACATTAAAACTAGAACAATTACATGAAGTGCAGTTATACATTTAAAATAAATGCAGTTACAGACAGCAAGTCTCTTTGTTGTCTCTCATTCAAGACATTACTCATTGGACCTGACTGAACCCAAATGCAGCAAACATTTACATTTTGGAACAAACCAATTTGAATAAAGGAATCGCCATTAGGTGGATGCACCAAGATCACTCAGTTAAAGTCATAAAAACGCTTCAGAATTCAGTAATCCCAGGGCCAGTGGCAACTTTTAACTTTCTTCCAGCTGCAAAAACCATAAGCATTCAAGTATCTGGAAATTCCATGACTTGCCATTTAAAAAATGTGCACACAAGATGTAAAAAGCCCACATTAGGAAAGCTAAACGGCAAACACATTTCGCTAAAAAGAAAGTATTTTGTTTTTCCAAGCTGACCTGCTGGTAGTATATCTAAGTGTATCAGACAGGAAGATTATTGTGTTCTACATGCAAACATTTTGCATAACATTGTGTGTGGGGGAAGAGACTTCTGGTGCCACGGATGAATTTGTTCCCAAAACAGAAGACAGCCTCAAACACTACCACTTGGTACATCTTGTAACGCCTCTCTTTCCTAACCTTTAAAGACTCTCTGAGGTCTCCAAGTTTTATTTTATTATCCAGCCTATAAAACTGCAGAAATGAAACATTATTCAGTGTTCCTGTTGCCTCTTAATCTTTCTGCCATGCATTAGCTCAGACATTCATCTCTCACTCAGCCCTCCCTCCCTTTACAAGAGAGCAAACAAACCAGAATAGCCGAAAATCGTGTCAACCTACCACTCAGGTCACTATTTGTGATACGCAGCGTGGCATTCTCAGACTGCAAGGAGCGGTTCTTCTCCAGCAGCAGCACCTCCAGCGGTTTAGATGCATCCTAAAGAAAATCAAAGTGGGAGGCTTGTTTCTAAAAGCATTAAGAGTCTCACTCAGGCACTAAAAAGGATTTCAGAAGAAGAAAACAAGTGCTCATCTCTGCCATGAACGCAGCTAGGGAATTCACCATGCATATATTTGCAGGAATCACTCAGTGCTCCTACGTGAGCCATAGAAGAGATTCACTGTTTAATTTTCATTGTAAATCATTCATCAATTCTGCGTTATTTTGAAACGTGTAATGGAACATTTTCTTAATCCTACTTATTTTAAAATGGTACTGGCAAGCTTTCAATTTAAAAGCTGTAGACTTCTTTTAATCTGATTAAAATAGGAGTTAAGATTATATTATTTCTTCTAGGTCAGCTGACCCAAGTTAAGCATTTCCTTGAAATGCTGCGTTTCAGCATAAACAGTTTGTTCAAATATAAAATCAGTCACAGAAACCTGCCATTTACCTTCCACTAAATATCTAACCCTTGATCATTAAAAAACATATTGAAAATTAATCTCAGCATCTTGATATTCAGTTCAGATTTCAGAAGCAGGAATTTAATTCATAACCTTTAAACTTAAGTAAGACTAATTTGCTGGAATAGCAGAGCTTTCTCCTGCCTTCTCAGTACTCAAAGGTCTGTTTTCTTTTGTGAACATTATTTTCAAGGCTAACAAAGACTTAAAAATGCTGAAGTCCTTGCTCAGCGTACTGTCAGTACAAGAAACATGCAAATCTCAGTGTAGCTGTACACTGACTCCAGTATCTGTAAAAGACTCAACTTCACAACATTATAGTTATCCACTCCAGCACAGCTGAAACGTCATTCTTTGTCCTTGACCACTTAAAAGAAATTAATAGGCAAAAAATGTTCAGTTCAGATTTTTACATAAGAAAACATCAGGAAAACAATGATCAACCCACGTGTCTCAACATCAACAGGAAATTCTCCATGCCAACACCAATGAATTGCAAGACAAAATTTTTGTTAATTAACTGAACTGCTGAAGCAATTAAGAAAACAGAAGTAGGTTCAGTACCTGCGCACCAGAGCTTTCAGATGGTGCAAACTCCATGGATTTCAATATACTGTGGAAGGCAGAAAAAAAATTATTTTCTATTTCTTCTTTTCATAACAACTGCACTAATGAGCATTAACATTATCATTTCTTACTCTCCAGCAACACTACAAGTGATAACAACTTTCCTTGCAGTAACACAGCCTCATAATGAATATAGAGTAACTATTCAAACTAGTTATTGGATAAGAAAATTTTCTCGAGCGTCATCTAAATCATTCCATATGCAATCCCACCAGGCCAGTTTAAAGCGTAAATTTAAAGGTTAATAAGGATATAACATTTTAAGCTGTCAGAAGCGATATAAATTTATCTGTGAAGCTTGAAGGGAATGAAAAAGTTGTAGCAAAGCAACAAAACAGGGGAATCACCACCGCAGTTACAGTACTTTATATAATATACACCAGCTCACATATCAAGGAAAATATGCACAAATAATCTTCCCGACCAAGACACTACAGGCTAAAAGGCAGTTTTTCATTTTAATAACCTCCTAGTTCTATGGCAAAGGGAAGACACAATGGCACAATATTTCTTGAGAAATATGAAAGATCCAAATATTTATAAGTACATTAAGAGAAGAATCTGATAGTCGCATTGTCAATATTTTATATAAATACTGAGTGGTCAAAGGACATCTCCCTTCAAAGTCTTTCAGTTAGAGTTGTATTGTCTGGCAAATGAGAATCTTACAGGAATACAAACTTACTACTATGCTTTGCCTTATAAACTTTTTTAAATAGGCCTGCTGCAGGCAGGACGTTAAGTTCCTCAGACTGAAGCAATAAATGATTTCAGCTTCTCATTGTACAAAGACGACATTCATTTGTCGAAGAAAAATACGTAAACAGATACAGATAGTGTATATACAGCATTTTTCACATATAAAGCACCAGGAACTTTGTGAGGCAGGGAGAATATGTTTAACCACATATTAAATGTGGAAACTGGGTCAAAAAAAGCAGAAGGCCAGTATTAACACGCAGGGACTAGTTCTGGATGCCACTAGGAGTCAGCCAGGCACCCAGCACTTATTAACTGCCGTAGACCATGCGGCGTCCAGCTCCTCTATAAATCTGTCCGTGCATTAATCCAGAATTAGATGTCCATTAAGTGGCACTCGGGAAATCAGTGGCCTCAGTGACTCATTCAAGATCACACAAAGTCGTGGCAAATCCAAGAAAAAAAAAAGTCATTCTGAGACAGAAACCTCATGTATTTTGCAGCTGTGCATACTCATTGCATACAGTGTTAATTCTGACAGGCACTCCTACAAATATAATAATTAATAAAATCCCCAAATTCTGTCCATCAGTTTCATCATATGGCGTCACCGGATGACACCTCTTGCCAGCAGAAATCACTGTAGATTACAGCCATCACCCAATACACAAACACATAAAGTAATGCTGTTAAGACTCTGCTTTACGTGGGCACAACAGCTCAGCCACGTGCAAAAGTGCCTCTTTTCTGCTATTAATGGAGTCATGCCAGTCAAGGAGAGAGGTTGTGCATTAATGGCTCAAGTTCTTAAAGATCCTGACATTATATTGACATCACAGGCATGTTTACTCAGGTTGCTAATCACTGCTGAAAGCAAGTGTTTCTTGGGACACCTCTTCAGAGGCAGAGCTCTGTCTACCAGGACTCCAAGGTGCTGGGGAAGATAAATACACAGAGACTCATCTAGGGAAAACCCCAGTCACTGGTAGGTAACTGTTTTCATCCTCCCATGGATTCTGCAGGGTATGGCCTCTGAAAGGACAGCAAGTAGTAATGTATGTCCTCATGATGGTCAAATACCATCATGATCAAACCCATCTGAATTTAAAAAAAACACAACAATTTGTAACAGCAAATTATCATGTGGCAAACTTCCCATGGCAAATCACAGGTGTTTCTCCCATTTCAGTTCAGATCAGCAGTACACCTGCGACGCAGGTCTCCCAGTAATCCCCACTTACCACACTTGGGTTTGCCATGCAGAGCAGTCCTGGAGCATACCAACCGCGTTCCTTCTGGATGAGACTAAACCAAAAGAAGCTGCACGCTCTCGAAGGAGCGGGTGTGATGTGCTCTGACCACTATGGTGCTGCCTACAGAACCAGACTGAAACCAGTCGGAAGCGCAAAGTAAGCCTGAATGTATTTAGTGTGTTTTATCGGGTTCTCGGCACCAAAAGTCTGCCTTTAAAGCCCTGATCCTGTTGTGCCCTCCACTTGCACAGGCTGCTCTACCAATGCATTTTGCTTCCAAGCACCTGCTGCCAGCTGGGACCTTCAGAAAGGATCCTGAACCTTGCGGCAGCTGCATTTTTCAGTGAGCCTGAAGCAGGCATTCGTATTCAAACCTCGGCTGGAAACTTACTGACCTCTGCCTACTTAAAGTGGATTCCTTGCTACCTGAAATAGCCTTCTGGCAATTCCACAGGTAATTTCCTATACACTTAGAACCCAAAATATACTAAAAACCAAGTCGATGGTATCTTGAATTGCCCTTGGAGGAACATTCACTACAGCAGATTCATTTTTTGAAAAAATGTAAAAGTTAAACATGTCAAAAATGACTCTCCAAATGTGTCACAAAAGAGACATTTTTCTCAGGAATATGAGGAAGCAAAATGTTTCCCCTTTGGATTCCAGGAATATCTTTGCCCATGAGATCTTGACACAATCTGCTGCTGAAGATCAGTTATCTGCTTTTTAAAGGAATGATCTTGCGACTTGAATCTGCACATCTAAGATGTCTTGGAAGATCTTACTCTAAAGCAAAGCGTGGACTGGGACAGCTCTACTTTCTGTTTGTATGATCCCGACTGCAAAAGCAGGAGGGTTAGCACTGTTGTATTACTCGAGAGGGAACTGAAAGGACACACAGAGCTCTCAGATCTCAAAAATAGGTTTAAAAGCCTTGGCACAAAAGCCAACGCAGAAAGCAAGGAATCCTCCCATCCCAGATCTTAACATGGACCCAGTTAAGTTCCTCCAAGGTTAGAAGCTGGCTGATACTGAGATCCCTCAGCCTAGAATACCTCTAACATCCTTGGGAGGATTAAAGAAAATACATCAGTGCCAAAACAACTGAGAAGTTTATTCTCTTTCTTCCTTACTGACAAGGTATCTTTTTTCTTGGTGTGTATGAGCAGTTCATTTTTGTCAGTGTTTCAGGGCACAAAGGCAGGCATAGTAGGATTGAGTATGAGGGATACCAGATTTACAGCAATAGACTTTTCATAGTTTCACTTCAGATCAGACTGTCACTCTCAGGTGATGCATTTAGATTTCGGCACATCTTTTGACCAGATGGGAGCAGAGAGGGTGGCATGAATGAGCTGCTGCGATGATGCAGCATTGCAAACATCTGCAGTGCTCTCACAGAAGGTCTTAACTCCCCACGCCATGCAGCAGGATGGTGTATGGACCCCAGGCCACCTACAAGCTAGCTAGCTGTCCCTCCAAAGTCACCTGCCCAGATAAAAAAATGTTATCCACAAATTAGGGGATACAAAAGCTGTAACACCCAGGAGAAAGAGATTAAATTTACTGGCACCCAACAAGGGCCACTGCCAGGAGGTTCTCCCATCTATTTCACTGCAGACTCATCTTGAAATAACAGGAACACGCAGAAGCACCATATGAACACTCCTGTGTCATGGCTTCTCATGGACCTCTTATCTGCCTTCCCATCCCTGCCCTCATATAAGCCAGTGTCATAAAAAAAGAAAAAAAAAAAGGCATTACCGCCAGGAATACAGAGATCTAAATGAGTTTCATATCTAAAGTAAAGGCATTAAACCAGGTAGGATTTAAAACTCATTTGCTGTTTCAGTGCATTCACATTTTTGTAACTCATGTAGCAAACTGGAAGGTTGTGGCTTAATTCCCATTCACTACTTTACATATGACGGCATAAACCAGCTGAAATCTGAACCTGCGTTTCCTTAACTCAGGAGAGAACATGGACGTTATTTACCCGTATCACTAAAACGATGAAGCTTTTTTGAGACCAGTTAATATTCAGGTATAACGACCAAAGAAACGGACAACTCATTTCACTTGACTGAAACTATATACCCACATCAGGGTGCGCTGCAGCTGGCAGTGAACCAGAACCGCAGCCAGCGTGGCCTGAATAGAATAGCACCAGGGGCTGGGCAGTCATTGGGCTTGCAAAACCAAACCTGCTTTCCATATTCTCCAGGGACGTGTAAACAAAAGCACATGATTACCAGCCTCATCTGAAATACCTCATTAAACAAGGTAACATTTTTTCAGTCTTCTTAAAATACACACAAAAATGCCAGAATGATGAAAGAAGAGATGGAGTTTCTTGCAGTTATTTAAACCTTGACACTAAACATATTTCCAGTCAAAAAACTTCTCTTCTGAACCTGACAGCTTATCTTGTTATAGTTTAAAATGAGGCTCTTTTAAGTCTTTTAAAAAAACCCCTTGAAATAGGGAGAGGCTGTTTGTGGCTTTAGTTTAAAACCACAATATATTAGCAAAAATATACAGTAAAACAAGCTCAGCATTAAAATGGTAAGTGCTGAACACTGGCTGGCAAAAGCATAGAAAAGGTATTATGGCCAAAGGCCCTGCATTAAATTCTTGGGCCACATTACATTCAGCTCTTGGCTGGGGATTTTTAAAGAGTGGTCCGTCTAAAATACCACAGATTTTCAAACTTTTTACCCTTGGTGGACAATAGTTTTAGCGCCTTTTCTTCATGGACACTTGCATTATTTGCTATTGCAATACTCTGCTGCAACAAAAAGGAGTACTCTCAGATACAGCAGTTGCACTGGTTCTGGATACAACTTCTGCCAATATTCCCAATTTCCCCGTCTTTGTGGTTTTGACTGCATTCTTTATTGTTCCAAGAACACAGATTTGTGGCTTCATTTAACAAGCACTGTGAGTTTGTGAAAAAATTATGTAAGCATTTAACACTTACTTTAATTCTTTCTTAACCTCTTCATAATCAGCCTGTCCTTTCAGTTTTTCTTCCAGTTGCTTTAAAAGAAAGAACATGGATTTAATTATTTAGATTTTTTTCTGCAGGCTTTCAAAATCATCTTCAAATTATTCCATATATACAGCAGCGCACAAGTGAGGGTTAATGACTCATACCTAATTTACATATATTAGAAAACAAACTATAACCAATTCAACGTAAACACAATTATATCTTACTCTTCCTTTGTTTACAGAGTGCCAAGCATTACAGAATTCAGTAGGTCCCAATTCGGCTGTTTGCAACGTCCCTGTCGTGTTCAATAAAGAGACTGGGGAAGAAGGTATTAAAAATGGGGCAGCTGAAACTTTTACGAAACTGATAAATTGAGTAAACAAGCAGGATGCTTTGGCACATACTGTATTCTTAATAAGACAGCTCTTGATAACCTTATCTACGTGGAAAAAAAAGACTGAAGAAGCTGTTGTTGACTGCAACGCCTTAGGCTTGTAAGACTTCTACAATGCCTCATGCCCAAACAAAACAGCTACACCAAGTCATTTTACAAGCATTATTTATTGCAATAACTAATATGATTACACACCGGAGATGAAGCATTGAGACCAACTCAGCAGGTCTTTTTGCTCAGGTCTGCCCGACCTGGGGCAGTCTCAATGGCTTCTCTTCGGTGTGAAGATGCCACAAACGTTGAAACAAACCTCCTAACACAATCCATAACGCAATGCCACACATTTGGACCTTACCCAAGAGCCCCTGCTCCCAACAACAGTGCTCATCACTACAGGATAAATGCTTCAGGAGGCCTAAAACATAGTGATACATAATTGATGCCGTTATGTTGCTTGCAGAAGCCACATTAATTTCCCACTAATAATTTCTTTGCTTAGTACAGGCAAACCTGATCTAAGCAAAGAAAGAACAGAACTTTACTGGCCTGCAACTTCCATGGGTAAGTTCAGGCTAGCTCTGCTTCACTTAATTTTTGGTGTTAAAACTGGCACAGATTCCCAAAGGTCACAGGAAACAAATAACACAAGGACATACCACCCTCAAAGAGAGAGCATCTACTTTGAAAAGGAAAGGAATATATGACATGAAAAAGAAAAATAGGGCTTTATGTCCAGGAGAGGCTGCCTTCAGTGGAGAACTGAATTCAAGATCCTACACCCACTCCTGGGCTGCTCGTTTGAACGCAGGAGGAAGGCAGGGAAGGGCTACTGTGAACTTGGATAATTTTAGCAAACCCGTTTAAAATGCAGTCCCATAAAGTTCTGCACCAGCACAGTTACAGGTGCATGAACAGCAGGGCTGGGACAGACGAACAATTAGAATTGGGAACCTCTTAACCATGCTGTCTTCCAAGTAAGCCAGTGTGTTGGCATCACCCATCTCAAAGCTACCCGATGGGTATAAGCAGCAAACCTAAACACTATATAATACAGCACCCACAGATTAGCGAGTCCATCATCTGAGCCATCTTAAGAATTTAAATGAGGCTTCTTCAGATGACAACAGCAGCATGATGGGGCTTTGTTGGACTTCCAGCTATTTTGCCATCTTTTAGAGGACTTCTTATCATGCCCTTTCTAGCTTACGCATTGCTGACATTTCTGCCTTGCCATTAGTACATATATTAAAAAGCAGTGACAAAGTGGACATCCACGTTATCAATATACAGCCCTCTTAAATTCCTGTTCCTGCTTTTTGATACCATAATCCACAATCCTTAGTCACTGCTGACAAGAGGCATCTCCCGGCAGTAATACATGGGCCCTGCTCTGGCAGCTGCTCAACAAGCAGCTCTTAATGGATCACCACCACCGGTTGCTGCAGGAAGGCAGAAACTATTGTTAAGTGTGGAATTTGCACTCTATGGGACACTGATGAAACAAGCGGCCTCTTAAAAGGTCTTGTGTCCTAGCACCCTTAGCCATCAGTAACTTGTGCCGTCATTGGGATTGTGTTAAAAAGACAAATCCCATGTCTATTTCAGCTAAAACAAATTTTTTCACCTGGAATAAATACAGGGCAAGTTTTAGTCATTTCTTCTGACATGTCCTGCCTTACCAAATTCCAGTTACTAACTGGAATTATAGGGAGTACCAGCTTTGCTTTATATAGCAGACAGTGCTACAGGTGTTTTGGCCCTGCCAAAAAACCCTATACTGATGTAACTAGGAAAATCCTGGTTGATGGGACCAGGAAAATCCTACAAACATTAAAGATGTTTGAGGTTTTGATAACCTCCGACGTGTTGAAATCTCATTACGCAAATGTACTACATAATCCCAGGGCCCAAGGTGTCACTTCAGTTCTCTAACTTTTAAGGAGGGCCAGCTACAACACGCCACAAGTTCAAGCAGCTTTGCTTGCTACAGCTCGATGCTGAGCAAAACAGAGTTAGTTTAACAAGGAATCCAGCTAGACTTTTTAATGCACCAGATCAGGGCTCAGTAAGACTGGAGAGGGATCTTTAAATGAAACCAGTGAGCCAGAGAGCCCTCAGTACTGGGGAGGAGACTCAGCATCGTGACCGACAGCTTTAAAGCTCGATGCAGGCAATGGGAGGACCCTGCCCAACACTACACGACATCTTTCAGCTCTCCTTGGCCATGTCACTCTGCTGGCCCCTTCTACCTGCTTTTTGCTGCTCCACAGCTTAAAGCAAAGACACACTACAATTCACCTCTTCCTTAACTCTGTGACGAGTAACGTTTTTGGGTCTACAGCAGATTAGCTTTTACAGTAGGGATAACTGGCTATTTATACTAGTCCTCAGTATAAAAAGTACTGGAATAAATTTTAAACAAACAATATCCTGCATTAATATGTTAGTTACTTATGCAAGGATATGCTAAGAAAAAAGCCTTTTTTAGAAATGGATATAAAATACAGAAAAGCTAATGATTCCCATTTTAGTGCAATCTATAGTAAATGTAATTCTGTATAGAGATATGCTATACCTTGAAAGTATTTCTGGAAATATTAGGTACAAAACACAGTTAGGGGAAAAAAAAAAAAGAAAAAAAAGATGTTCACAGAATGAAGCTGTTTTGGACTCTCAGGTACTTGTATGCTGTTATAGCAGTATGGCAACCAGCAATATTTTACTCTGAATTGTATAAAACACACATACATACATCATTCCCAAGTACCTAATATAGAGAGTGTTGCCATGGAAAATCCGCACCTAAATGTATACTTTACTAAACAATATAAACGAACAACTGAGAATGCAATGCCTGTATATAAGCAGACCATTTAGGCACTTGGCATCTTCCCAGTCAATGACTGTTTTAAAATGTATTAGTATGGTAATTGTCTCAAAGAACCCTGTAAAATGCACAGAACATGGTATAACAAAGGTTCAAGCTGTGAGACAATCTGGAGGAACTAATATCTTGTGCTAAATATCAACCTGGTTAATTCAGACAAAATATATTCTAACGTCCTCCAACACACAAAAATGCAGGGAGCCAGAGGACAGAAGGAATGGACTGGTGGCATTTCTGCACACTAAATTTGCAAATATTCCATGTTAAGGAATCGTCTTGCATTTGTTGTATGAATGAACCCATGTTAGAGCATGCATAGATTGGGTCCCCTCTTACGTTATTTAAAAAAAAAAAAAAATCATTACTGCATTATTAACTAAAGTGTCCTAGGTAAATAGCATGGGCTGTATTAAGGGGCTTAAAACATTTAAAAAAAACCCATTAGACTAATGTTGTAGTTTAGTTTAGAGTGATAAATTAAAAAGCACATATTTAATTAACCCAGGTTATTTGATGCATCTCTTTGCTAACTAGCACTGTTGTATTTTAACTGGGTAGCAGGGAAGCTCTAACTCCCAGCAACAAAGGGTTAATGTAATTATAGTTAGAAAAGTCTTGTTACTAGCAGACATGTTTGATTATTAGATCAGATGACGATAAAGAAGCAATAATTTTGAAAGTATTTCTGCATTGTTTCATTAAGTCATAGAGTATTAAAGAATTCCCCCAAGATATGGTCTGAGAACATTGCTTTAATTTGTGAAACTGTGATTCATTTTTTGTGGAAGCAACCATTACAATCTCAGTTATTTTAGAAGTAATTCCTCTATAATCAAACATGAGATCAACACATCACCACTGAGATTTGGTTCTTTGTACAAGAGATCTCAGACACAGGTTTTCCCAGCACTTTGGGGTAAAAGTACGTATTTTGAAATATTTTTATAGTGCAACAAATAAGGTTTAAGAGGGTTGAAATGACTAAAACTTTATCAATAGAGTCACTGCATAAGACATTATCAACAGGAACCTAAATATATAGAGCATTAGCTGGGCAAGCCTAAGAGAAAATGGAAGATTACTGAAATGAAAATCAAAGACTTGCTCTGTCATTTCTATGATCCTATTCCCTTTGAAGTTAATGGCTAAACTAATACTGACCTCACCAGGAACATGCTTTATTCCAAGAAAATCTGTGAAGTGCAAGGACTCAAGATATTTTCTATCAGGCTTTATGAAAAAATAAGAAAACCCCGCGTAACATGGGTGTAGCCAGCAAAATGTGTCCCTCAAAACCTTCCTCCCTCATGAAGAGTGGTGCCCACGTGGTGACAGATGGGCAGAGACTGATACCATAAATATAGGAACCTAATAGGTTTCCTTTGCTCTATTGTATTTTCATAAAAATTCCGCAAGGCTGTCTTAAAACATGCATAAAGCATACTGAATGCAACACTTCAGCTTCATCCCTAACAGACATTTGTCCACATAAATTATGCTACACCAGAGCAAAACCAGTACCTTCTGAAAAATGTCAGAATTAGAACAATTCATAAGAGTTTCAATTGAACATTAAATCACTCTGATAGAGGAAAGCTACCCACGCCACAGTCAGAGCTAAGTGGGTACTAGCAGCCTCCTGCTTTCAAAAAACTCTCAGACTATAAAACCTGCAAAACTATGAAGTCTTTAATGGAATAGATAAATTTATCTTGTTTACACTTTGAAGCTCATAGATGGTAGAACAATGAAAGAGACAGGAGTTACAGGAAACTGATTCATAACACATGTCAGGAAACATTTCTCATGCTTACTGATAGCTCAAAACTCTCTGGGCTAGCGCGCAAAGAAAGTAAAGCTGTTGAAGCAAAAAGTAAAGGGGTCACTCACAAAATTGTTAGACGTTTCTTCTGGGTTTAGTGCAGTGCTACTGGTATGCAAATGAGCTGACTGGGCCGCTAATTATAAATGGGAGTTACTGTGCAGCAAATATATAGTTAAAAAAATAATTAAGTGGTTATTAAGGCTAAAAAGCTTTCTCTCTGTGTCTTGATTTTACTTGTTTTTATGCTCTAAATGATACACTTCCCTTTTCCAGTGGAGAGAACTGGAGGGGATAGCAGGTAAATTCAAAGACAGACCATAGCACAATAAACACCCCTGCCAAATCTGCAGTACCAATCACTGGAATGGGAATTAAAAGTTCTAAAACCTAAGAAGGATTTTCTGTGCCTTTTCAGTTCAGCTATTTCACAACATATCCATGGTAAACATACGTTGGGTATTGTTGGTGGTTTTAATTCTAAAGGTAGCCATGTTCTGCAAAAACAAATTTCAAAACAATGAGAACTAGGTAAATTAAATTTCAACAAAACTGTGATCACTTAGAATAAAATGTCACAGAAACTGGAATTCAACAGCATCCTGAAGTAGCCAATGGCTTTTATGGTGCCTCTCAGAACCACAGAAAGCTTACATCAGTAAACCCCAATATTGGTACGTCAATTATATCCTTTGAAAGCTGCTGAGCACAGAACCGAGCCTTACTTTAAGTGTGCTGTTCTTGGCGGTCAGCTGCTGCTCCAGCTGTGAGATTTGGCTGCTGGAGTTCTCCCGCAGCTTGGTGAGGCTGCCCTGGAGTCTCTGGACATCTTCTACAAGCTGGGCAATTTCCCGCTCCTTCGCAGCCAGTTCTACTTCCAAGCTGGACCGTGTTAGAACCTCGATGGCCTGCTCCTAATGTGAAAAAAAAGTGTTAGACCACATAAATAAAAAAAGGAACAAGCTTGAATTCAGGGCAGCTAGGCAAGGACCAAGAACGGCATTGGGTGGCATGAGAGACAGGAACAATCTCTAAATCTGGGACTCCGGTGATTGACTGCGTGGATCTGGAAGATGAACATTTCTACTCCCCAGGACAGCTCTTTGGTAAAATAGGGATAATGGAGAGAATAAATTTCCCTATTTCATAAGTGCACTGGAAAGATGCAGCTGTGAAAGTCAAGGGATTCGATTTAGATCTATTTATTATTAATAGTCCAAATGCTTTGACAACTATGAAAATCTGTGCTTACAAAATACTAATCAGATAAAATATCCTGAAGTAATAGAGCAGAATTTCTTAATCAGGAACGGCAGAGTCATGTGCCTTCGGCTCTTCGTACGCGTGCCACACGTTTCAGGCAAAGTTGTCAAAAATTGCCCCAAAGTGCTACTTCCAATGAACTTTCTCCTTGCATGAAAATTGTTTGCTGTTAATATTATTGCTAGCAACTAAAGCCTCTCCTCCATGGCGATGAAGGTAGATGTGACAGCTGTTAAGACAAGGCCATTCTCCCTACGGTCTCCACTTTCAGAAATTCCCTTTCCTAAATCAAGATCTTTCTTCTTCCAGTTTCTCACGGCTGCAAAATCTGTCCTCAAGTCTGAAACTTCCTCACTAGACCGACCTTCCAGTAGGACAAGAAATAAGAGAGGACAGAGAAGTTAAGAAGGTAGATCTATTCAGGAAAGATAACACACACTAATTGTACCATGTCTTTTGTCTCCTTTTGTGTTAAGAGATCAATAGCTATAATGCATCGGAGAGCTCTGAACCCCTCTTCCATGAAGAACATAAGGAAATCCTTGTGCAGATCTGGGGAGCACGAGGCAGCCCAATGATGAACGCACGTTCCATTAAAAAGCCTAAAACGCATCTTACAAAGGTTAATGGCTGTTCCTCAGAAAACATCAGTGAAGTAGGAAAGAATCCATTTACTAAGAGAGAGACAATGATCGAAAGCATTATACCAAAGATCCTACAGCGAGAGAGCTGAAAATTCAACCCACCGACGCTGTCACCCAAGCACTTTCCTTACAATTCAAGATGACATTGCAGCAGATTGAAATATAGTCCATACCCTCTTTTCTGGAAAATACAGGCACGACAAAATACCTTTTCCATATCTTCTAAACACTTAGCTTGATTCTCAGTGACTACATACCATTGTATCTCACAGGAAGCTACATGTACGAACAGCAGTTAACAACGCTCTCCTATTACACTGAATTATACTTTTAACTTGAAAAAACCTCTAATTTGCTTGCATGAAACATCACAAGTTGTATAATCATCTGCTGCTTGTGCCTATTGAGACTAGAACGTAGAGTCTGAAATAAGATAGATAATGATCATTTTCATCCCGCAGTAGTTGTCATATTAAATATAAATGAAGTGCAGAAGTACTATTAAATACAAGAAAGACCTAATGTTAAAATAATGATAAGACTAGGACACGAGATAGGAAGAGGCAGGTAATTCAGAGTTACAAGTGATATTCAGCCTTTTTATTTTTTGTTTTGCAGCCTGCCTGTCTATCTTTTGACTTCTCTGAGAAAATACTGGGTTGCATTAATAGACGACCAAAGCGATCTGGAGGACTTAGGGTTTGTTACTCATTGTCTGCAAATGTATTTTAAAGGCAACCATGTGTTTCTCTGATATCAGTGTCAAGCATGTATATGGCTTGCAAGAAAAAAGCAATATAAGAGCATGATTTCTTTTGTTTGTTAAATCTGCCGCTTAGAAGTAGACTAAATTTCACTTAATTGCATATTTACATTTAAATACCCCTATTTCTCCTTTGGCAAACAAATATCAAAATAATCTGTCTGCTCATCTGTGATACCTGTTAATCCAGGACCAGCTGGAGTCCTGTAATAGCACTCTGTGCCCGCAAGGTCTGATCAGCAGAGTCAGCGCTATCAACCTCCCCAAACAGCGGTGTTTGCTTTGTTTAGAAACACACAGAGAAGGCAAAAAGCAGCCAAACCTTTAGGAGTACAGGATATCTTCTCAATTTTCTAAACTTCTTTTATCGGGTATATAGGTGTAATTCTCAGTTTAGATATATTCAGTGAATTCTGGAATGATACCGAATTTATTTCTGGTTCCTCTGACAGCCCATACACTAAGAATAACAAGACCCAGAAACGGGCAGGCAGCAGGTCCCCACTAAGGCAACCAACTCTGGCCAAAGTTGGTCCCCTCCGTCTGAAGCTCCGTGCCTCTGCTGTGCCCTCCAGGCAGGCGTGTGCTGATGGCCCACCAAGGCACTCTTTGTTATACCGCATTCCTGCCTTTATTTTTCCTCTGCTGACGCTCTTACCAATGTGAAATAATTTCTGAGAGTTGCTGCTATCCACCTGGACCGGCAGCCGTGGAGAGCTGTGGATCACTGTACCGGTCACCACGGAGCAGAGCGACCTCTGTCCTTCCCGTGGTCTTCTGTAGCCACCAACCCCCTTAGAAGTTTAACCAAACCGCAATCCCAAAGGAACACAATTCCTTCAGTTAAAATATTACTCCAAACAGATATTTTTATAGCTGCAAGCATAAATTGAAAGAGCTGTACTGCAGTAATGTCAGAAACCTGTAAGAGTCAGTAAATATTTTCTCTCACCACATCAGGTGCCTTCTGGATCTGCGTAGCAAGTTGGAGAGATTTGTTAGCTGACGAGAGCTGCTCCCTTAAGGTCTCTGCCTCTCTCTGAGCCACCTCTGCCCTCTGAAGGAAATGAAAAGGGGTGAAAAGAGAAAGTACATTCAGTTTAACAACTGACAATTATTACAAGAACATTCATCAATTCATGCCTGACTGAATATAATTGATTTTCCTAAACACTCAACCTAATAAATGTTAGAAAAAAACATAGAATGTGATGGATTTTTATTTTAAACAGTACAAGGAAGAAATAATTGAGCGATTATGACAGTAATTTAACGCTAGGAGCAAGGAATCCCCTGCTGATACTAATGCTGCGGCCCACTGAATTTCCCAGACTGAATAAATACAAGTGGAAATGGAGTCTTTTTATTCAATTTCTTTCTATTCTCATAGACCAAGCAGATTTTATTGCAAGGTTCCTCATGGGAATAATTCTCACGGGTAAATGCTGAATTAAAAGATATTCTGACCATTCTCTCTAACACACATACAGTGTTGTGGGCTGTCTTTCTTCAGTAATTATTTCCCAAAACATGAATTGTTAGATTCTGTTCTTTCAGCAGGTCTATTTATTCAACAATATTTAACCCTAAACTGACAATTTTGCACAGATCAGTTACCAGCTGCTGAGGATTTACGCAATATCTGATAGCCTGTGACTTGGCTACCAGACAAAATTCCCATACAAATATTGAAGAATAATAGAAAGGAGAAAGGCAGAATTATGAGGAAAGATTGTCTGTACAAGAGTTTGCGTAGAGACAGATGGATCAGTAACTTCAGGCAATAAATAGCAGCAAAGTCCTTTCCGTAACTGTGTATAAGCTTCTGTTAAGAAAGCAGAACAAAACCTGGTTGTTTTTACAGTATATGCTCCTCTTGGTCAGACTTTCTTCTCTCTTTTTTGTAAAAAAATGTTTTATTTTTATAAAAACACACTGTTTACCTCCTTGAGTAATGACTGCTTTTCACCTGGGCTACTCCATGCAAATCACGCTGCACTTTCAATAGAAAATAGCTAAAATAATTTTCTATCTCCACTTCCAAGACATATCACCAGCTCTTCCAAACCCATGAACTCCCACCAATCAAGGTCTAAACTTTTCTTGACCAACTTTTACACGGATGGGTCCCTCCCTTTATTGAATAATAAATTCATTTTTAAACCACCAAAACTGCCGTATTTCTGTGTGCCACTCCCTGCTTTTTCAGCGAATCCTTTTGAAAACCTAAGTCATCTAAAATAGTGAATATAAAACCTATACCCCTGCGTGCGTGCATGGTCTGTGACTTACTAGTCAAAGCAGAGACTCTGTCTGCATGTTTAATCAATCAGTAAACTAACAGCAATCAAATACTAAATGCATCATCTGTGCTATTTGCTCACAACATTATATTAAATGATTTTGCATAGGTTCTACCGCTGTAATTAAAATGTAACTGTAAAAAGTACAGTAACATGGCTCTAATAATCAGAGCATGGGACACAACCTATTCTGTGCATGAAAAAATGGTAGCAGCATTAAGAAGGCACAAAAAGAGAAAGTTTATGTTGTTTATGCAGCTGGATAATACTAGAATAAAAAACTGAGCTAACAATACAGATTGAGATAAATTATTTTCTCACACTTTATTAGATGTGGATGTACATATACTGATCTAATAACTGCTAAACAACTCCAGCAAAGCAGGACAAGTTACTACACTGTGGCACTCGCTCTTGCATCTACTGCTGTATAAGTAATGGGTTTCGCAGCCTTAAGCAATTCTGCTGATGGCTTCCATTCACAGCAGCATTGTTTTGAGAATCTATTCAGCTTGCATGCAAGCAAACCACAGAGGATATTTCTAATAGATGTTACATCTGCATATACAGTAAGCTGTCAGCTGCCCTTTCTGCATAGCCTCCCCAGCCGATTCAGAACACCTGTTGTGATCCTGTGAGTAATATTGGACAAGATTTCATACCATGCATTGTTAAAAATACATCAATGGAAACTTTGGGCAATTCTGTTTGGGAAATACTGATCAATTATTCTCTTTTTTTTTTCCAGAATGAAAGCTTTTTAGAGCCAGAATTATAGATGTGTTCAGTGTCTGGAAAGCACTTTTGGGTGCTATTGCAATATAAATTATAAATTACACACAAAAACCTGTTAAAAGAATCGTAGTTTCAAAATTGAGCACTTAGAAGTTTTGAAAAGCCAACCCCAAGGCCGCAGGTATGTTCGGCCACCCCCTGTGCACAAGGCTTCAGGAGGCGGGCTGGAACCGCACAGTAACATGCTACTGCTTTTTTCCAGCGGGACTCCCTACTTCATTCAACTCTCAGGATGAATATTCCTCGGTGAATGAATATTTTGCTTTGTCCTCCTTGTTCCGTGTGTGACCTCTGTGGCTTATTTACTGCAAACTAATCCCACCCTCCTCTGTAGATAGGATTAATCGCTTCCTTACGGGCTGTGCTCTGGTTTCCACCATCAAAGGATCTAAGTGCTCCAGAAGCGTTAATGAATGCACTGGCACAAACCCCTATTTTGAGCTATATGGGTTCCCCAAGCCCCCAGCATATTTCCATTTGGGTGCTCTGCACGGCGGTGTCAACCACAACCTCACCGTGTGGCACGGGCTGTGTTTGGCAATTTCTCACCTGCTCGCCTGCACCCAAGACCCCGTACAGGGGCTGCGGTGCTGCTCCCCGGCAAAAACCTCTGGTTTTACCTCTCTGACTCCTACCCTTCTCTGCTTGTCACTTTGTCCCCTTCCTAATTCATTCTGGCCACTGGAAGCAGCGTTTCTTTCTCTGAGCTTCACGGTGCCTTTAGCTTCAGGCAGGCAAAAGCAAGCTCGTACCTCGCGTGACCTAACAAACACACGCAAACTTCCAGAATTTGTCTTACCACCACGATTTCCTTCTTCCTCTTTTCCTCGTTGCTTCTTCTCCAAGTGCCTTCGCAGCAGCCCCGTCCTGGTCCCTATCCTCCCTCCCTCCCCACCACGAAGCCCCTCTCCATGCTCTCACGCCGACGTTGCCCGTCTCCCCATCACGGCAGGGGCAGTCTGGAGGAGCATCTCCCTCCCAGTGCTCCCCGTCGAAGTGGCACTGAACCTTACATTACAACCAAGAGAAGAAAACCCTGGCTGGTTAATGTTCACCCAGCCGGCGCAGTGATAGACTGCAGTGTGCTTGGGACAGGCACGGACATCAAAGCCGACAAATTCAAACCAGATTCTGTTGAGTTTGTGTGAACTTGGGTTTTTTTCAGACGCTTATAGGCTGGCCAAACTTGGGGCTTTTTTTTTTTTTCATTGCTACTTGAAGCAACAGAGATACAACCCTGAGAAAAAGGCAAACCCTCCCTCATCAAGTGCCAAGTCGCTTCTCTTAAATATGGGCACAGCAGGCTCCTCACCAAAACAGCAAGAACAACTCGTAACATGTGGGGAAAACTGGATTTTTTTTCCTAATCTTGTTCTTAGAAACGGTTGAACAATTTTTCCTGAAATAAGAAAAGAGAGTGCAGCCAGAGACAGACACCCAGTATGGAAAATGGCTGAAACCTAGCAATCTTGCACAACTTGGAGACACTGGAAAAGTTCATGCAACCTTCTCTTTGTGTGAAACTATCCCACTTTGGCTAAGAAATATGTATGCCACAGTACAGTTGCTTTTCATCAGTCAGTGCTAAAACTCTTGGTTTCTTACTTCCAAATCTACTATGCACAGCCTAGAAAACCCATGATGACCAGTGACAGTCACACTACAGGCCTTGGTAGAGATCATGCAAATCCAGCATTGTCTAAAAATGCTATTTTTCTGGATAGCTCAGTCATACAATTCCTCCTAATTTCCATACCGCCGTTTTTCTAGCATAGCGCTACCTCCCTGGTAACAAAACACTTCAAAATACTTTCATTCTCTTTAATATAGCATGTAAATATTGTACTGTTCACAGTGGAGCCAGTAGGTCGTGATCATAATGCTGCCGTCTGCTTTCCAATTTAAAAAAAAAAAAAAAGCCTCACACGATATCCAGTTCAAATTATTCTCATTGTTTCCTGACAAGATAATGAATAGCATGAACTGAGTGCTCTTCTACTTACAGTAAAATGTTAATTTGATCAAAGACCAGTGGTGTGAATAGCAAAATGAGATACTTACAAGCAAAAAAGTATAACCTTTCCCTTAAAGTTCCACCAGCCAAACTATATTTCCTTATTACATGCTAAATTCAGTGCTATACATGGCAAAATCTTCCTATGGGCTAGAAGTGTATATTATCACAAGTAATTCTGCTAAGTTAATGAGCCCGGTTATGGCAGTAATCACCATACTTGGTTTTAAGCGCTCGAAGCTGACGTTCTTACTTGCAAGCTGCCTCAAAAGCTATGTTTCTCAGAGCACGAGATCAATTACAGCACACCGGTTCAACGTGCTTCAATTTTCTAACTTTTGAGATATAAAAATTTATTTTAAAACCTTTAAACAACCCTAGCTTTCACAGAAAAACAGCAAGATTATCAGAAAATCTGTGACATGAAAGGCTCTTCAGGGCTCTGGCACCTATTTTTTCCAGCAATGGAGAATTACACAAAAAAAAGAAAAAAACTCCAACAAACAGAAGAGGTTGGGTTGTCTTCATTCTTGTCTTCAGGCTATTGCACTTTCCTTTGCACACTGAAAGGCTGCCAGATAAATGTATTCCCAACTGAAAGCCAAGCATTTACAGGAAACTCCTGTGTTTGTATGAAAATAATATTAACCATATTTTGCTTTTATACAGCACTTCTCCATGCAAGGATCTCAATGCACTTTATAAAGTAAATGTTATTATTCCCATTTTACAGATAGTGAAATCAGACGATTAAGTGAATGACCTCATCTGCTATAAAACGGCATAACTTCACTGAATTCAGCGGGGCTATGGCACACCACGATAGCAGAGGATCTCATTCATTGCAGAGGGAGTCAGAAATAAAAAGCAAATACTCTGGCAGTATCTGTGTTAGCCTTGGTGCAGATGAAGGAGTCATGTCAAGACGAATACCCTTCTTTGTGG